GGGCTCCTCGGGGTGGAAGCTCTCCTGCAGCCCCCCGATTGACCCCCTCCCCAGATGTCAGCCTGTGGCAAGTGCAGCCAGGCTGATGGCCGAGTGCTGTGATGTGCCGAGTGTGGGCATTCAGGGCACTCCAAGCCAAGACTGCTTTGCAAGCGGGGAAGCCCTGAGAACTGTCTGTCTGGGGTGGGGGTCGGGTCCCTTTAAGCACAGCCCTCGGCTAGCCTGAGACAGCAGCTCCACGCTCTAAGTCCTCATCTGATGCCCTGCCGGCACTGCTTCTGGCCATCCTTAACCTCGGTTCAGGGTCCACTCAATGTGGATGGGAACACACAAATTAGCAAAATGCTAATTCGAACTAGTTTTTAGGTCTAGATGCACTAGTTCGAATTAGCTTAGTTCAAATTAACTAATTCGAATTAAGTTAGTTCGAATTAGTGCTGTAGTGTAGACATACCCTAAGTGTATAAGATGCCACAGGACTCATTTTTGCAAATACAGACTGACATGGCTGCCCTTTTGAGAGTTGTCACAAATGGCTGGTCTATCAAAAAGCTATCGAATCTGAAGGATATCTGAGACCCATGTTCAATTGTTGCATTCCTGAAAGTCTTTCAAAAAGCCAAAAAGAGTCTTTGGTCTACCACTGACTTGCGGTCAGCCTGGCCGGGCAGACATGTGAAATATAGCAGCACCCCCCTTCCTTCATCTCCCATTCCTACGGCCAGTTCTACCCTCCTTTCTCCAGATTTACTTTACTGGAAGTGACCTTCATGCCTCTTCTTCCCAGAGTGCAAGTTACACTCATTGTGTCCATCCTCTCAATCTCATCAGTGCAACTCACAGGAAATGTGAGCAAGGGAAAAAAGAACTGGATCCCTCGTTCAGCCTGAAATGCCACATAAACTGGAAACGCTGTGGATTGTACCTGATCCCCTGTTCTTCGCTTGTGAGACCATCTCCAAACTTCTGATGTATGTCGGAACAGGAGTTGCTGTCATCTAGCGATCTAGGATAACAATGAGCGAGCTCAGGCAACCATGTTCTGAAAGGGGTTTTTGCTCCGCAAAGAACTTTGCAACCAGTGATAAAACTCACCCAACTTTCTGGAACTGATTCATGGAGAAATCCCAAACATACCGGATTTTCTGCACCTGGATGCTTCGGACCTGTAAACCCAAACAGCACAAAAGCCATTTACAGCACCCAGATTAACTCTGTTACCAGGGTCAGTTATCTTCCTTGATGCCTGGGTATAATTCTAGGTAAAGTCAATGTGAGCTGCAGAAGGACATTGAAATAAGAGCTTCCATACACCTCATCCTGTGCCATCCATCCAATACCACGTATTCCATCCATTCATGACTTACTTTTAATTCTGGCTTCCTTATGGCCCTGTTTATGACAGAATCTTTGTCAGCAATGAAGAGTCTATCTGATGTATCTCTAACCAACAGATTCAATGTGGACAAGTCAATCAAGGTCACCTTCTTTCTGGTATATTTTTGAAATTCATCCTGAAAGAATAAAGTAAAGTTCAATGTGTTTTGAAGGAGTGGCATATTCTTAGTATAGGTCTCTGTGTACAATCATTCTAGAGACTGTCCGTACATAATTACAGAACTCTTGCTTAGGAGCCAAGATCAGATAACTTCATTCCGGTCTGCTTCACCTAATGAACACCATCTAGGCCCAAAACATCATGGCTGCGTCTAGATTGGCAAGTTTTTCCGCAAAAGCAACTGCTTTATAACTAAATCTTTGTTATAGTAGAAAATGCAAACAAGTGTAACTAACGTTGATCTAATTACACTGTGCAAATGCCTAATAGAAATGCACTTAAACCAGCTGAAATTGTGCCTTACTCAGTGTAGCTCAGTGTGGTCAGCTATTAATCACTTTTACAACAAAGTAGTAAGTTACTAATTGTTTAAAGTGCATCTATATTGGCGATATAGTGCAGGGATTGAAGCAAATGCATATTGGTTGTGTGCTCTGTATAATCAAATCATTTTAGTAACTCTAAAGGAAGTCTTCCATAGCTAATACTTAAGATACAAGCTCTCTAAAATTCAGTCCCATGGGGTTTCGCTCATGATATTATCCACATTCATTACCACACAAGATGTGCTCAACCATATTTATTTGGAATGACCCCTCTGTTGTGTCCTCTCTTCTGCATTCCTGTGTGTAGGTAGCGTTAGCACATAGACAAGAACTCTGCTTTCTGCAGAATTCTGCAGCAACAGTATTGGAACGAGACCTGCTCTCACACTGCTGGATACGCAATGAGGATATGCAGGGCGCATATGGAGAGTAACGTCCAGTGTTAAAGTATTTGAATTCTTGCTAGTGTAACCATAACCTCTGCACGATATTTTTAAACTGCTTTCTCTGAAAATGTCTCCATGGAAACGATTTGGGGTTAGTTGGCTCCTCAAATGCCTGACTTCTCCATGCCAGGACACATCTGAAGCTAAGTATTTCCACTGGGAACTACTAGAAAATTGCTATTTCACAGTGAAAGAGTCCGACAAGCTGCTTGTGAGAGAGAGAGAGAAAGAGAGAGAGGGTATGTCTACACTTGCCCCCTGGTTTGAACTAGGGAGGCAAATGAAGCATACTGAAGTTGCTAATGAAGCACAGGATTTAAACATCCCGCGCTTGATTGGCATATTCGCAGCTGGTCGCCATTTTAAAATGCCAGTCACCCGATTTAACTTGCCGCGTGTAGACACAGTAGTCTGATCCAAAACCCTTCCCTCGAATTAACTGTTACTCCTCGTGCAAAGAAGAGTAACAGTTAATTCAAGGGAAGGGTTTTGGATCAGACTACTGCATCTACACGTGGCAAGTAAAATCGGGCGACTGGCATTTTAAAATGGCGACCGGCCGTGAATATGCTAATCATGCGTGGGATATTTAAATCCCATGCTTCATTAGCAACTTCGGTATGCTTCATTTGCCTCCCTAGTTCAAACTATGGGCAAGTGTAGACATCCCCAGAAAGAATATCGTAACTAATGAGAGGGTCAGGTTAAAATTACACGCAACTGTGTGCACTTACTGTTGTTCTAAGCAATATGACATCTGCTTCCTGCAAGTTACATGGGGTGCAGTTTGCCCACACGTGCCATGCTGGCTTCCAGTAAAACAGAAGGAGAAGAGCCCCGCAGGAGAAGATATACCCTGCAATGCACATGGCTTTCCGCCAGCCTTGGGTTTTGTAGCCGAATATCTCCTGTGGGACAAAGACAAGACGATATTCTGAAATGGTTTGACCTAGAGACTTGTTTTAAAGGGCAGAGTTGCAAACATTTCTTGAGAAGACTCTCTAGGTAACATGCCTCTTATAAGCCATTCAGTCTTCAGATTGGGAGAAGAAACTGTGTCAGTTAAACATGCCATTAAAATTAAGGCAAAATATAGACCAACCCCATCAATGCCAGGCAGTCTCACATACTTAGTGTGGAAGGAAAGGCCATTCTGGTGCCCATTTTTAATCCTCGCTCCATGTAACCTTGAAGAATTAGCTTCACCCTATAGATTTCACTGCCTTAATCCAGCTGGTCTGCCCCAATAACACTTTTACCTAGATAATTCAACCCCAGAGCCTTAAAACCCCAGGGCTGCGTCTAGACTGGCATGATTTTCCACAAATGCTTTTAACGGAAAAACTTTTCCGTTAAAAGCATTTGTGGAAAATCATGCCAGTCTAGACGCAGCCCTGGGGTTTTAAGGCTCTGGGGTTGAATTATCTAGGTAAAAGTGTTATTGGGGCAGACCAGCTGGATTAAGGCAGTGAAATCTATAGGGTGAAGCTAATTCTTCAAGGTTACATGGAGCGAGGATTAAAAATGGGCACCAGAATGGCCTTTCCTTCCACACTAAGTATGTGAGACTGCCTGGCATTGATGGGGTTGGTCTATATTTTGCCTTAATTTTAATGGCATGTTTAACTGACACAGTTTCTTCTCCCAATCTGAAGACTGAATGGCTTATAAGAGGCATGTTACCTAGAGAGTCTTCTCAAGAAATGTTTGCAACTCTGCCCTTTAAAACAAGTCTCTAGGTCAAACCATTCTGCAGCAATGGAATGTGTTTCTACAGGAGCTCAGTGTTGTCCATGGGAATCCACCCTGCAGGACAGGGAACCCCCTCGAATGCAGAAGACTTTTCAGACTCCTCAATGTATCTGTGTTGGGTAGTGTGCCATCAAGGTAGTGTCTGGATGCCAGCTGGATGCATTTCTTTTCCTGCCTGGTGTCCCAAAATGTAGCTCTGAATCATCCCTGAGCAGCTTTCTGAGATCCTTCCCTGCTTGTCCTTCTACCCTGACAACCAGCGTGCTCTTGTAGTCATAGTGGCATCCTGTTGTTAAAAAATCATTCTTCCAACACCGGCTGATTTACTACTCCAGACATTTCTCTTCCAACTGCATCTTGAATTCTCCTATAGACCAGCCTGCTTTATGCTTGGTCCCCAGTGCTGACAATAACCAATGATGCATCGTGTAACTCCCAGGAATGCTTTTATGTTGTTCCTTCCCTCACACTCAGGACCCAGGAGAGGCGCCTGTGCCAGACCTCCCCCCTCAACACCTTGTCTAAAGCAAACAAGCCTGGAGTACCAGCCTGGCCTCACTCATGTCCAATAGGTGTCTTGCTGTTGAGTTTAACAGGGCCAGGATTTTCACCCCGGTGTCTGCTCCTTCCCCACTCCACAGATAGACCATTCCACTCCCACGCTGGTGTTCTGTGACCAGCAGCTTCTGGGAAGACCTGCTGGTTCACCAAGTACCCACTTGGAGTGACACAGCCAATGCTTCACCGTTACTGAGACTAAACAGTCGGCTGTCAGTACAAAGGACCCCTTTCTGCTCAGCCCTGGAGGGCTCTGTGCAACAGCTCTCAGCAGAGCTCTGTACAGCCAGCAAAGCAGCCACAAGGCGAGCGTACACAGCATCCTCTGTCTGCGTCATTCCTGGACTGCCATTTTCCCCTAGCATGTACAAACGAGGCCCTTTGCACTCCTGCCTCGCACACGGGCTCCTGCCCCCTCTCACACACGGGTCCCATGCCCCTCCACCTTGCATGTGGGCCCTTAGCCCTCTCGCCTCACTCGCAGGTTCCTGCCCCCCACCTCTAGGGTTGCCAGATGGTTTCAACACAAACACCAGACACATTGACATTACATCACAATCAACATTACATCTGATTTAGAAAATACCGGACAGTTCTATTGTGTCAATTTGTTTCCCAAACAGAAAGCTCAACTACTGGACTGTCTGGTTCAAAACCGGACACCTGGCGACCCTTCCCACCTCCCACACAGGTCCCGTATCCCGCTGCCTCGCACGGGGGGGCTCCTGCACTTTGCCTCCCACATAAGCCCCTTGACTCCTTGCCTCACACACAGGCCCTTTGACCCACC